CAGGGTCTTGCTATGCAGTTCAGGCTGGCCTTAAGCTCACTTTGTAGCCCAGGAAACTCGCAACAATCCTCCTACATTGTGCCACCATGCCAGGCCCAAATGAGAGATCTTTTAAAAAAAGAACACAATGGAGCTCCTGGAGATAGTAAATGGAATACTTGGAGCAAACATTTCCTGAATGAGATTTACAGCGCTTGAGGTAACAGAGCACCACTGAACATGAAAATATAGTGGGTCCCTCTACTTAAAATGAAGCACTAGGAGAACTAAGACCAGAACTCAAATAAAGAAAGCTTCAGTGGTATTAGGGGCAATACTGGGTCATCTAACATTCTTAAAATGAACCCAGAGAAGGAGGAAAGCGAGGAGGAAGATAAAATATTTGAGAAAACAATGACCAAAAGTTTTTTCAAACGAGATGAGGACTATAAATCTTAAGACTCAAGAAGCTTAAAATGAGCTCCCAACCAATAAAAATAAGTAAAACAATTTAAAGAACAGACTAAACTTCAACAAAACCAATGATAAAGAGAAAGTCTTAAAAAATAGACAAAGAAAAAGATGCACTGGAACCCTCTAGAATTAAAAACGAGCAGAAAGCCCTGGATGTTATATATGCTAACACAGGTAGAGCATCTGAAGGAATGCTGAGACTCCCTTTCTTCTCAATGTGACATCTCCAGCGTATATTTACCTTGTTCACTGTGCTTTCTCTTATTCTAAAAATGCATTTTGAAAGTTTTCCAAGGTAATTTTGTCTTAATATCATTATTCTGCTTTTGAAAATACATACTTAAATCACATTGCAAATGCATGTGTTTGCTTGTGAGTGTGAACACTTCCCTCCGCTGAGGGAGCCAAGGATGAAGGAAAGGTGGAAGCTGAGGAGCTTAGAGATGAGAGGGGCCTACAGGTCCTAAGCAGAGGCCCTGCCCAGGGACCCCCTTCTCCAGCACCCCAATGGTTTCCTCACCTTGGGATGCCAAACTTTAGGGGTTAATTTTCGGTCTCAGCCATAACAGTGTGGTACAGGGGGAGGAGAAATGCAGGGCAACGGTGGTGCCTAAGGGAGCCTGCCGGCATTCCCGAAGTGACGGTGCGCCCTGGAGTGAGTCCTTGCCGTCGCTCTCCGTTCTTCACTGGCAGCACGGTGACAAAATTATGTCCAAGGAAAGAGAAGCAGATTGAAGCAGGGAGAGGTCCCATTCACTGGGCGCCTTCCTATGCCCTGGCATTCTTATCTACATTAATTAATATATACGGAAGCTCAGTGACATTGGAATTGTTCTATTTTCCTCATGCTACATGAGGAATACGAGTCTGGAGTAATTAAATAATTAGGATGTTCACTGTGTGATTTGGCCGGACTTGAACTTCTTGTTGAAGTTTTTCTACCATTCTCAAGCTGGCTCCGAGAGGAAAGCAGTAGTCAGCATGAGATCGAATTCACATATAGGGACATAGGCAAACTTGAACCCAGTCATAAAAGTCCAGCCAATATGGTGAAAGGTTCTATTTAATATGGAGATTGGCTGAAGAAACAGGAAATGTATGGTTGAAAGAAAGAAGCCTTGAGCTTCATGATTATGGAAGGGATGTTTTCAGTTGTAAATAAAAGCAAAATAAACTCAAAATGGTTTCAACACCAAAAGTAATTTATGGACAAATTGGGTTTTCAATGAAGCTGGCTGGACCCAATGTCCTGATTAATCTTTTTCTCTACTTTGCATTCTAAGGTGATATCTGCAAGCCTAATAGCAATAATCAGGGCTGGGTGTTTCTTTCATGACAGAGAAGGTCAAAGAAGTCTATCCCTCCAGTAGCTCGGTGGAATCCTCCAGCGAAGCAGAACTCATAGGGCATAGATGTACAGATAAATGTATGCATGGTACGCTATAGAATAAATGTACCTGTGGTATGTATTCTATATATCTGTATTTTAATTTGTAAAGAAACTTGTCCCTAGGAACTTTCTCATGTGACCATGGGTCAGGTATGTGTGGTATCTGCAGGGGAAGCACACCAGCAGGCTGGAAACTCTCTACTAGAGGTTGATGTTACAGTCTTGAGGGAGAATTTTTTTCTCCTCTGGCAAAATTTAGTTTTGCTCCTATCACCTCTCAATTGATGGGGTAAGGCATACCTACGTTCTTGGTGCTAATGTCCTTTACCTGGAGTCTACTCATTGTAGGTATCAGCCACGGTCAGGGAGTGCCTTCACACGTACATTAGTGCCTGTTTAAGTGACTGGGCGCTGTAGCCTAGCCTTGCTGACTTGTAAACCATCATGATTACGGTCAACCTCTTCCACAGAGTGTGGCAGGAACTTCGAGTTCTCCTTGGAGGAGAGAGATGGGCAACACAGAGGAAGCCAGTGAGTTCCCTTACAAGAGCTAACAGCAGATGTATGACAGGCAGCCATGCGGGTGGTTTTTCCACTCATCTTACATACAGTAGGACTAGGGGCACGTGTTACATGAGATATACCTGTCCGTTAAGAAGAGCTTTCCAGCAAAACTGTAGTCTTTGCTCTGGTTTTGTTTTTGTTTTTGCTTTGTTTTAATTTGGTTTTTATATAGTACTGGGGATTAACTTCACATTAAGCACACACTTTACCACTGACATTGCCTATGCTACATGACTGTGATGTGAGACTGCACTTTAAGGCCCAGTATTATTTGTTTCTTACTGTCTGTAGAAAACAACATAATGCTCAGTGGGGCTCAGGGGACCACAGGGAGGCTCACTTCAGTCTTACATTGAGTACTAGCTGGGATATATCAGGCTTCTCCAGAACAGAGCAATACACAGCAGTTCTCTTCTCAGGTGAGCTGACAGCGAGTCCCTCTCCCCACTGTGCTCTGTGGGTAAGATTTCCCAGCCAAAGACCTTTCTTTCGAAGGATCAGGTGCTCTTTGCACTGGTCACTGACTAACAGTCTCAGTTCCCTGCCAACCTATGGCACTGCTCAAGCAAGCCAGTCACACCCTCCTGTGAACCCCCGAGCCTCTCCCCAGGCTCGATTCTACTGTGGAACCTGCTCCCCGCTCTCCCTGAGTATGTGTTGTGTTTTTCCTGGCGGTGAGGACAGGTGATTGATGAACTCTGAGCAGTCTCACCTGTCCAGTGCTGGCCATGGTGGCATCAGCCAACCCTGTAGCATGAGAATGGGGAACCTTCGAAGCCAAAGAGGTGAAAAGGAGGTGATTCAAACAGTGTTTTCCTCCGGGCCACACGTAGCAGTGATGTTGGGTTGGGAAAGATTCAAAGTTCAGTTGAGTTACTGTGTCAGCAATTTCTTCACTGGCTTCCAAATTCAAGATTTTACTATTTCTAGGTTCCCGGTGCTAATGTTAGTGTTCATATTCTCCAGAAACAAATTGTTTACTTCTCCGTCATTCTCAGCTCCCATCCGTTTGTTTTGTATTTACTTATGTATGATTTTCTTCTCAGCTCGCGCTCAGAAAGCCATGCTTTATTAATCTCTGTGTACCCTTTGTAAGTCCTCCAGAGAGTGCACTCCCTGACACACAGCCGATATTCAGGAAGGATTTAGGGATGAATCCCTAGGTCACTTTCTCCATCAGAATATGAGAAAAAATTTACCAGTGAACTCCAAGTTGCCCTTACACAGCCCATTGGTAGACACATAAGCAAATACCATCCAGGTGAATTCCCCAGCACCGGTGAAATCCAAGCCCACTCACCTTTAGCGGGAAGAGTGAGATCTGGAGAGCACTGCCTGATTCTCTTTTCTCATTCTCCTTCCAAAACGAATGCCGGTTGCCCTAAGGCTTCTGAAGAACCCCTGAAGGCAGCCTCTCACCTTGTGTAGGAAGAGGGATTAGTACCGCTAGGAGGTGATCCTCCAGTCTGCCTGTCTGTGGATTCCGAATGCTCTATTCACTTCTCAGTTCCTGCTAAGAGCTGAAACATTGCTTCTGCCAGGAGTCATTTCACCCCGGTTTCCGCCCTCAGATGCACAGCTGCATAGCACCCTTGTCCAAAGTTATAGGAAAACATGCAGGATGCTAAAACCATTGCACTGGATGTATTTGCCATGCTGTTTTTCTGTGATCTCTGTTTTTTAATTAAATTTATTTAATTGGTACATAAAAAAAGAATTGTACATGTTAATGGGGTAATGTATTTCCATGTATATATATATATATATATTGCATGATATGTAAAACAGGAAAAATGTCTATCTCCTCACACATTTATCTTTTGTTTATGGTGAAAACTTTCAAAATCCTTTCTCCAGCTTTTTTTCCTACATTATTGTTGTAACCTACCATCATGCTAGTGTGCACACCAGAACTTCCTTCATCTCGCTCACTGTAATCCGATGCCCGCAGCTCCTGCACGACTGGCCACCTTCATTGTGTTTGTAGTTTCTCTGAGATGGACCTCTTTAGGTCTCGCATGTGAGTGAGGTCATGTAGTATCATCTCTCTGCAACTGGCTCACTTCCCCTCGCATAGGTTTCTGGTTCCATCCATATTGTCTCACATGACAGGGTTGCATTTGTTTTATGGCTGAGCAGTGTTCTAGCATTATATGTACCACATTTTCTTGATAGGATTTCTGTTTTACTGCTTATTATATTTAATTTTACCTGCTCATTAAAGTAATTATTTTACCAGAACGGCATGTGCTTTTTCCTATGCATACTGGTAGACTTAAGAATTTTGTAAAGAAAAACTGAAAAACCTAATGTGAGAAGAATTTTTCTGATTTATGAATGTTTCATGTACCTTCCCAGTGGTATATGGTAAATGTTTTCCAGTGAGATTTCAGGGACACTGCATCCACCCTGGTGTTTGTGCCCACGCACGTGTAGTTTTCATGTGCACAGAGCTCTGTGTGTGATGGGCACCCAGGCAATGCAAGTTGGTTAAGTCATCTAGTGATAAGATATGCTTCCCTCCCGTGATCGGAGACATTGAGAAGAAATGATGTAACAGCAGTGTTTTCTCCTCCCCTCGGTGTGTTCCCAGTACACAGATACACGCTCTGCTAGGCCTGTTCAGCCAGGCGGAAGCCTTACTCTCGGAGGCTGGAGTGCAGCCGGGGACTTTGGATGGGGTTCTTTTGGATCTCGGGTGTTCCTCCATGCAACTTGACACTCCTGAACGAGGTTTTTCTTTTCGGAAGGACGGTCCCTTGGACATGAGGATGGATGGTGGCAGGTGAGTACTGATAAAGCGTATCTCCTCACAAAAATCAATTTCTCAAAAATGCTCTGAATTTAATTTCCTTTTAAGACTGCAGAATTCCCATCACACACCCACACCTAACACTCCACATACGTAATAAATCAGTTTTGTTTGTACTCATTATAGATTTTAGTATCTCTCTGGCTTTGGAATGCTAAAAGAAAAATAATTACTTTCTTTACACAGAAGAGTGCAAAGGATGACTTCCCTACTGATTGACTTTTCCAATCATGCAAGGTGGGCTTTTGGAGTACTGCCATATGGATAAATACCATGACACTGGAGCATTGATTTGTTTTGTATGTATGCCCAACTACACCCCTCAGGAGGAGCCAAAGGACCTATATTTACTGCATATTCTTTTATAATATGCAAAAAAGGCAAGATGCTAGAGGTCAGCAGTTGTGCATTTTGTCCTGTATCTTATACTCAGTTTGCTTGAGCCTTCCGGAGAGAAACTGCAATTCCTGATACTACATCAAACACAGTACTACATACCTAATAGGACACTGATGGCTTTCAGTGTTAAACCTGTTAGAGCTTTCAGCGGTACAAACAGCTTGCTGCGGCATGTGAAGATGTATTGGACATCTTCTATACCTTCTCTTCATTCCTCCCACCATGGAAAGGCTGCTGTTTGTTCTCCATCATCCAAGCCCCTAACATATTGCATCATAAAGGAGACCACTGTAGGCATAGCTAGGCATCATTCCTTTTCATCTGAATTAATTTTATAAGCTGATTAGTATTGTGTCTGGGCCAGCACTGATCCAGAGCAAAGGCCACTGTGTCTACCCATTTTAGCCTTGTTTTCCTCACTCCTCTCTGCACTCCCACAAGCCGCTGCATCCCATGTAATTACTCAACAGCCTTCCCCCAGGTTGTGATGGCAGGACCTGGGAGCTGGGCCTGACCTGTATCGTTAGATCCCTGCTGTTTCTGAGTCCTCCGCCTTCTTCTGCACACAATGTTGGCCTTCACAGAGTGAGGAATGTCATCATAAAAGAAAATAATAAAAATCCTTTAAAAACCAGTGACTAATAGTAAAGGTCAAAAATATCCTCATGTCTGGAGGTTGAGGTGGTTGTACAGAAAGAATAAAATGTCAAGGAAGTTTCTACTGTTCCTCTGCCTTGCTAAGGAGGCTATCTGCTGAAACACAATGAAGAATTATTCCCAGGTAAAAGTGGCAAATGCCCACATTGTCACTGTAGACTTCTCAGCACATATTCTGTGACTTGGGACTCTGTGGTCCCCTCCAAGAATTTGAACATAAGCCTTCCCAGAGTGTTAAACTCCTGCCCATCAGGGTCAAATGGGTGAAATTCAGAGTGGAGCCAACTGATCTTAGCAGGATGAGTGGCTTCCAGGTAGACAGCCTAAAGTGGAGCCTAATGAGAGACGTGCACAGATCTGAAGAAGATGTGTGGCGTTCAGAAAGAAGAGTTGACTCGCTTGAATTCCTAGAAAAAAGTGAAGTCCGAAATGTAAACGTGTGCGATGCTAACCCAAATGATGTTAGGAGGGAGGGAGTCCATGGCAAGACGCGTGGCTTGTCAGTCCCTGGGGGAACACACGCCTGGGGTGGAGTCGGACATCAGGGGCTCTCATAGCCCATTGCCGCTGGGCACTGGTGTCCTGAAAGGAATTTATTCCATGCTCATCCTGGTCTGAACAACAATTTTAGGTTGCAGTGAAGTGCCTCAAGCAGAAAGGGATTCACAGCTCGGGGGACTTGACTGTGCTCCCAGCAGAAGTTCCACTCTCCCTGGAGCATAGCAGTTGATGCTTTGTCAAGATATATTCTCTGGTGAGTTTTCACTTACAGTGAAACCTGGCTCACATCTCTTACCTGTGTGGGGCGGAGCTACTCATCTGGATCTTGGCTCTTCCCCATATGAGTTCCCGTTCCAAAGTGGCTTGCCCACTGCCGTCCTTCCAGACTGATGTCCTTTCTGCCCTGCAGCCTGTGCAAACTTCTACACTGCTCTTCAGTAATAATAACATTATTAGTATTAATAGTAATAATAATGACAGTACTGCTTTCCACTTGATCAAAATGTTGTTTTAATTTTCTTGTTTAAAAGTAGAAAGTTATAATGGAAAAACTGCGGAGGACATCCATACCATCTTACATTTGCTTTGGCGTGCTGGAGTGTAGATTTGTTATCGTTGGTTAGCAAGGTTCATTCCAATGCTCAGTGGTTTGTGCAGTTCAATTCTCAGATAGATGAGGCTGACCAAAGATTTTGTCATTGAAGACAAGAGTGATCACTGGGAAATATGTGAGGACAATGGGCTTTATTGAGCATTTTGTGTGTGTCAGGCATCACACTGTATTTACAGTGGTATGCACCGCTGCTTCTCCCAGCGGTTCTGTGGGTGAGCATTTCTGCTTTGAGTAGTTTAAAGATTGAGGGTTTGATGGTTTAAAAGCTTTCCCAGTATCGCCAAGGCTGGCATGCTAACCTAGATCAGTCTGACTCTATAAAGAACAGAGCCTCATCTTGAAAGCTGAAGAAGCAAAGACCCTTAGATGGAAACTGGGGCTGCTTTTCAGAGACACTGAGTGGTGACCTCATATGTAAGATTTTGGTGAGAGAGAGAGGGAGGGATAGAAGAAGCAGAGAGAGAGAGAGAGAGAGAGAGAGAGAGAGAGAGAGAGAGAGAGACTTTTCACTGAAGGCACTAGATTAGCGTGTTAGAAGGTATAGTTTCCTGTTTTCCTTGGGCAGCCCTACTCCCGATTTGACCCTCAGATCTTAGAGGTGCTGCATCTTTGTTACTTACAAGTCGCTGCACTGATTGGTACCAGCAACCAACCCAGTCTATCAGTGTAAGAGCAGTAATTGTACTGCCATCACGACTGCCTAATGAGTGACGTGCGCTTGGTTCATCAGTTGGCATTCTTGGGCTCATTTCTCTAAAGTGCACTGGAATAGTATGATAGTGTGAATGCTATTCTCTGCTGTAATTTATTTGATATGGCCAGAGTTTGGGATTCTTTTTATTCTCTATCTGAGATTATATTTAGGCTGTTCATATTTTATGTTTATTTTCAGTTTAATCCATGGTGACCTTTGCCATAGGTGATTGAGCTAGTATTGCTAAGTCTGATATAAGATACATTATTGCCATTAAAATTATTCCAATTTTTGTGAGCGCAAACTGACTGGTATTTTCTTGTATTGACTGGTATTTTCTTGTATTGACTTGTATTGAATACACTGACTTGTATTTTGTTGTATTTCTCCCTTCAATTTGTGTTTCCACAGGTAGTTACTTTACTGCCACAGATTCAGTTTAAGTTCCTAAGGCCTAGGTTTGTTCGTCTTATATCTTCCATAGTTTAAAAAAAATCATGCAATAATTTAATTTTGAATAACCTAAATCCAAACTATGTCCATTATTTTAACTTGAAGGAAATCTGCAGGAGTAATAATGACCTCTGTGTGAATTAAAGGTTGGTAAAACATTCTAACTGCCCATGGCCTTGACCTTGATGAATGTTCCAAACAGTTGCTCATGCCATGCTCTGAGTATTTGAAATGGAAAATCTTTCTCTCTCATTTGTGTAGAACCTCAGCATTTTGCTTGAAAAACCGCAGCAGCCTTCCCAGCCTGTTGTGTATGCCTCTCTCTCAGGACTCTGAAGTTTCAGCTCTTGTCAATGGAAACTGACGTCAGTGAGCTAATTGGCTGTCCCTGTGCGTAGGTACCCTGACATGCCCACTGCGGCTGATGTTGTGAACGCCTTAGATCAACAGGCACTCGCCTCCATCCTGAGAAGATACGGGGAAGAGAAGCATGCCAGGAAAATCGCATTAGCGATTGGTCAAGCACGGGCCATATACCCCATCACCAGAACCCAGCAGCTTGCCAGCATTGTAGCAGGTACCCTCATTACTTCTGAACACTGTCTGAACAAAAATATAAATATATGAACACAAAATGTGTGTATATGAGCATATATATATATATTTATCCCTTGACTCCCAGAGGGATTCATTTGTACCTGAAAAATCATGCAGGGTAGAGCCTTGTGTAGCCTCTAATGTCAGGTTTCTTCTGGTTTTGCAGGCTTCTCCCCTCCAACACCCCTTTCCCACACACAACTTTTAAAAAATGTATCTTGTAGTTTGCTGATTATTCTAATAATAGAATTTTCTTACCTGGGGAATTTACCCTTTGTATCTACCAAGGTGAAAGATAGAATGACAGGAGTAAAAGAAGCTCTCGCCCCTCCAGCATGGCAGATCAGCAGGCTGTAGAAGGGTTGGCATCACCCCTCTTAGTTTTCACATTTCTGCATTTTAATATTTTGGGCAAAAGGAGAATTGCATTGCCCAACTGCTAAAATAAAACCCAGTGACTCATGCATCTATTCTAAACAAGCAGCTCACAAAGGGTATGTGATGTATAGGTTATTCCACTTTGTGAATGCTAACTAAGTCAGCCTGAGGGGTTTATTGGAGCATTTCATCTCTTCTGCTGTTCACCACTGTAAACCTCTTGAACCTCAGTCTAGCAAGAAGGCGCTTTATTATAGCCTTTCTGTTTGAAGCCAGAGTTGTTTCACAGCTGTGTTCCGTGATGAAAGTTTCTTAGGGAAAAGTATAACTTCTGCAGCTATTTAACAGAGTGTCAATACTAACTTGTTCATCTTGTTGGGCTGTCTGCAACCCTGTATTATTTGTATTAACCAAAAAGTGTGCTAAGGTTTCTTTTCAATAGTTCCCGTTAAGTTACCTAAATAGAGAAGTAAAAATAAGGAATATTTGTGTAGAATTTATAAAAGAACCTGATATTGGTTGCCCACAGATGGAGGAATATACATTATAAATGTATTTAGGTCATTAAAAGCAAGAGTTTATATAGCAGTTGTTTATGGGGTAATTAGGTGATGCTGTATTCTTCTTCAGCTCATCACATATAAAGAATTGACTAAGCCTTTCACCTTTTCAGCTGTGTGCCACACAGCCCTTCCAGCTCAGCACTGGTATTCCTGTAATTCTTAGGGAGTATGTGTGTGCAAAACATTACATGGCATTGTTTCCCCAAAATAGTTTATTCTTTTGTATTGACATTAAATTCACCTTTTATCTTGGGTACCTTTTTTTCCTTCTCATTCCTTATTCACTAACATGACTGCACCTTATCATTTCTGTCATTTTTTTTTACAAGTAACTAGGTATGTTTTTCTCTGTTTCCCACAGTAGGAAGAGAAGCAGTGAGAAGTCACATTATTTTATTCGTAAGAATCCTATTCTTTCTGGTGCTGAAAATGAGGGTAAGGCGGCCACGAGTGCCCAGACTGTCCAACCCCATCCTGGCTCATCCCCAAGGGAGCCAAGGTTCAGGGGGCCATGGGCTGCTCACCACCAAAGCCAGCTCAGAGCACAGCCAGGACTACCCAGAACTTAGAAGCCCAGGAATCTGACGCACGGTTGGGCACCTGCCTTTAAGAAGTTAACTTTTCTGCCTCAGGACCCTAATCAGTAAACTTGAGGAAATAACACTGTGATGTTACATAAAAATGATATGAAGGGGTACCCTAGGAACATTTTAACTAGTTTCAGAAATGATGTATAAGGCATATTAGTGCTATGACAAATGATACAATAAACAAGAGAATATTCATCTATGGGTAAGTAAAACCCCATTTTAGTAAATGCTATCAAAAACATTGGCTTCTCTATGCATCTATTTTCATGTCTTTAATATAAATCCATAATAATGCAACTTTTTTGATGATATGATTTTTTTGAAAAAGGAAAGCAGAAAATAATATTTTCTCTTCGCTGTCATTTACGAAAAATATTTTGAGGGAGGGTGCTGTGTACTAATAAGCACTAGAGGCATATTGAATGCAAATCAGATACAACATCGGCGTTTACACTGTTTACAGATTAATAGATTGTGCAGTCAAGTCACTGAATAGAAGCAGGTTACACAGCTACTTTCAGAAAAATCTTTTCTTTTGTTTCATCTGGAGTTACGATTCTGTGGATAAGGGAAGCTCTGACAGAATCAGAGAATTATGGAGCCTACACAGATGCATGTTTACATCATGTATGCTTGGGTGCTAATGGCGGTTCCATGAACGGAAGGGCACCTACAACACTGTCCTGTGATCTCCGCTTACAACTTTATCGAAATGAAGTAAGACTTTAAAGGCACTTGCAAAGCAATCTGAATGAGGATATTTTTAGATTTTCATGACTTCTGTTCCGGCTTTTGTAACTGCCTCACCCACACTTAATTTGCATTTTTTTCAAAGTACTTGCCTCTATCAGTAGTTTCCAAAGTTTCCAACTTACTGTCCCCAGCAACAGCAGCTTTCTTTCCTACGTTCAGATTTCATCCGTTTGTGTAATGTTCCATTTGATTGCGTTGTGGCAGTAGGAAGTGCTGGGTCTGTAAACACTCAGCACTTTGGGTGGGGGAGGGCCGCACATTCACACGACAGAGTGCTCCCCTCCCGCCCCAAAGCTCCTCTGCAGGGGATAGGGCAGGCCTGCCAGCCGCATCACATGCAAACCTGCTAGAGTGACTCTGGGAAGGAAAGGCGGGCACAGGGAGATGATCCTGCCTTAGTTTCCTGGGGCTGCTATTAAAAGTGCCTCCACTTGGCTCACAGCAGCAGAAACATATTCTTTCAGCAGGACTCTAGAGGGGAACCCTGTCTTGAAACTCTTCTTGTCTGGTGCTTGCAGGCAATCTCTGTTACTCCTTGGCTTGTGGATGTTACCATCTCTGCCTCCATGGTCACGCAGCATTCTCGCCATGCCCTCTCTTTGGATCCTAATTTCTTTCTTCTTCTTCATCTTGTTCTTCTTTTTGTTCTTCTTGTTCTCCTCCTCCTCCTCCTCTCCTTCTTCATCTTCTTCTTCTTCTCCTCCTCCTCCTCTTCCTCTTCCTCCTCCTCCTTCTTCTTCTTCTTCCTCTTCCTCTTCCCCTTCTCCTTCTTCTCCTCCTCTTCCCCTTCCCCTTCCTCTTCCTCTTCCCCTTTCTCTTCCTTTTCCCTTCCCTTTCCTCTTCTCCCCTTTCTCCTCCCCCTCCCTTTCCCCTTCCTCCTCCCTCTCCCCTCCTCCTCCTCTTCCTCCTTCTTTCTTCTCCTTCCTCCCTCTCCTCTTCCTCCTCCTCCTCCTTCTCCTTCTTCTCCTTTTCCTTCTTCAGACCACTGCTGATAAGGGATGCACCTGGTATGCCCTCATTTTAACTTCATGACATATATGAAGATCCCTGTTTACAAGTCAGGTCACATTTACAGACAGTGGATAGACATGAGTTACCAGGCAGAATCTTCCTGAGGTTAGGATTCAGTCCTATAGCATTACTGATTGACCCAGTAAAATCCCTACACGATATGATTATTTAACAGAGTGTATTTGAGCAAGCTATAATATGTAGGGACAGTATTTAAATGTCTTCTGGTTCTGAGAAATTCATATTAATGTGTTCAAGACTATCAAGCACTCTACCATAGTTCCTGGCATGTATTAAAATTCAGATAGATAGATAGAGAGATAGATAGATAGATAGATAGATAGATAGATATAGATCTGTTACTTCCTTTGCTTTCCAGAACCTGATAATCCAATAGTGCAAGGAAGACCAGCCACCACACTTGAAATCATAATATTCTCAGCAAAGCTGTAAGCTGCATGATTATGCTGTAATGTGTAAACCCTAAAGCCTATTGTCTTTTGCTACTATAAATTATTGCAGTTCTAGTGCTATTCCAAATTATGGGAATTTCAAAAGACAGATCTGAGGCTCTAAGTTGGAATACAACACTTGTAGTCACTGTGAATTACCTTGTAATGATCAAAGCAGGAATTTCATAAGCAATGTAATTCCAAAACAGCCAGAAAACTTTACTCTTCATCCTACCACACATGTTATACATACACTACTGAGAAAAAGTAGCAGAAGTTTTATATGAATATTTAACATTTATACAGTATTGTGTATAGTATTTCCACCAAAAGTCATTTATAAATAACAAATCACATTTCATTTATCATAATTTTCATTCTACTCCTGTTAGAGCTGAAGAGTCCATGTCATGAAATCAGTTGAAAATCACCTGAAAGATGCATTTGATGCAGAATTGCACCCCTTTCTCCCTGAGCTCCGTTCCACGGGCTTTGACTTTCATATCCTTGTACCCTGTCTGCCCACGAAGAGCCTCTGGCACGCCACGCCGAGGCTGCTGCAGTCTTTCCAGATGCTGTGGTCACCCCCTGCAGGCCTTGGTGTACTCTTCCTGCTCCTTCTGGCGTGGCCCCACCCTGCCCGCCACCCTTTTTTCTGACTCAGCTCAGCTCATCCTTTAGCGCTTGGTTGAAATGTCGCTTCCCCCAGGCTGACCTCGAGGAGTTGAGACACCTTCCTATGTGCTGCATCGCGCGCGCTCCCTTGCTGCAGCTCCTCGTGTGCGGTGTGCTCCTGCTGGCCTCTGCTTGACTTTTCCCAGTCCTGTGTGCTCTGACACAGACGCCAGGAGCTGTGTGTGTCTACATCTGAAATGTGACCACTTCACATTTGTAAAACACAAACGTAAAATATACACCCGATTTTAAATACTTAGTTTTTAAAAATTTTAAGTGTAGCAGTAATTTTTAACTTCATTGTATATAATATAATATAATATGTATATGAAGTTGTTGCAGTATTAGCAATAACTTTACCTGTTTTTAATGTGTGGTTCTCTCGAAACGTTTCAAGTGAACCCTCCTGATCACACTGTAGGGATATTTTCTTGGCCAACACACTCCTGACTATAAGCACCACGAGGACCCCCTGGGACTTTGCTTTTCAGCACTGCCTCCTAGCGCTTAGTCTAGTGTTGTTACCTACACCGTTAGTGAAGTGCACTTTAGAACAGG